GACATCACAAATCATGACGAGACATAAGATCCTAATGAGAAACCGATTAATCGCCTGCCAGGAAAGAAGGATGTTTCATGACTAAATTTTTTAAAGCACTAGGTGTCGCTGAATATCTGAAAAATTCAGACACGTCATGCAGCACATCGCGCTAAAAATCCCATAGGATTGATTGAATGAAATCAGACTATTTCAAATGTCTTTTGACTGAAAATGACTTTAATACCATGTAGTAATATCATACACATAGCCGATGACGCATTATCTTGATATATTTATAATTTACTAAAGGAGTAAAACTGTAAAAGAATGTTCATCTTGAACGTAAATCTGATGAAATCGTATTCAGCATCCAATCTTATCGATCACACGTCAGTATTTCCCACTTTTATTAACAGAGATTATTTTTCGTAAATGCCGACTTAGATACAGCTAGGTTCATAACATAATTCAGATTTTTAGGTCTTTTGTACCAAATCCAGTTGTTGTAACGAGGAATGGGGTAGCGCAAACACTTCTGTGAATTCATCTATAATTGTTGAACCGACTAATCGTTTCCTGACAAACCTTACAGGATTCGAATATTTTAGATCCTCTGAATTGAAACCGGCATTTATTGTAACGGCGGAGTTTCTTGACTTTTCACTATTTAGTCGGAAAGCCAAAAGTCTTTGCGACGTGTCTCTTGATGATTTGCGTAAGATCTTCTCCAGAATTTTTTCCATTTCATTTTGCTAATTCAAGGAAATCGACATTTTATATTTGTCTCATACAGTGCTAAATGATTTGTAACGTGTTTCTGGATTTCGTATTATCCAACTTCTTCAACCAGCTTCATGACTTTCTTGAAAAGATTGGCGTGTTTTCTCCATGGATCGCTCGAAAGACCTACCAATCTACCGGTTTCACTTTTTACACGGGTTTGGCAGTGATGAAGATTCCGCGATTAATATTGAAGTATAGGGCCTATCGGCTGTATTCAATTACTAGTAATAATTGAAACGGACAATTCATAAAGGAAAATCTTCAAGAGACAATATTCTGCTTTATAACTCCAATCCGTGCAGATCCTAACGATAAGCACGAAGTGCAGATTGTACTGCATTTCTTCCTTGGCCGAACTCATCAAATGAACAATTGGATTAAATACTTCCAAAGCATTAGCTGTTTCCAACATATAGACCGTTGCACCTGTCACCATTACAGGTATCTTGGAACAGCTTCAGCGTCAGCAACTCTTAATGGTTTTAGTGTAATAGCCTATTTCTCTCAGCATTGTACAAATATTATATAACAATTATATTGTTTGAGTATGCCAGGTTATTTGTGTATAGCCTCCTAACTATGAAAATAGCAATGTATGGACAGCATTAACTGGTTGTTTCACTGAATAATATTCAAACAATATCTGCAGTGTCACAAAGAATTGTATCAACTGCAGGTTTGATGTAAAATGTTAATTCGTCCAGCACGTTTCAGTTTGTCTGAATATGAAACAACGCTAGATCATTGGTTTTAAAATCTAGGGTTAAGCAACTGTGAATGTACGATCAAAACTTAAAAATCTCTTTTCACAATACACAATTTTAAAATGCATTTGAACATGCAAACCAGTATTCAGCAGGAGTAAAACAATCAAATTTCGCGTCACGTTTCGTATCGATCTCTTCTGGCACTGATCGGTTTTTGCACATGGGCGTGAAAATATTCGTTATAAATCAGTTTGAACAAAAACAAATGAAACACGGCTATCAAAAATATCAAGGAATACCAGAATATCGGAGGAAGGCCGCCTAAGCTGTGGCCGTGTTTGTGAAGCATCATCACGTGAATATCATGTGCGGGGGCTGAAAAAGCAAGAATTAAACATCGAAAGGACAATGATAAGATAATGAAGTACTCTTCACAGTACCTTTAACCACGTTCACGACGTGGATCGTATGCTTGAGCCTTTCGAGGTGGGGATGGTTGGAAGATATATACAATATGGCCGTTGGCGGGACCGTTTGTTTAACAGGAACTTCGGTTCTAGTTTTTCTGAAATATTGCAAAATCTTACAAGTATAAAATTACGCTAAAGAACAAAAGAACGTAGCATAAACAGTATAAGACTAAAATTAACGTATAACATAAACTCAACAAAGCACGTCTGTCTGTTTAAAGAGTAAAGCCAAATATTCATGTATTTTTGAGTACTGCACAAGGATCGTTTATGCCGACGATAGTCTACGATGGCATTAACTTTTTCATGGAACTAATCCTTATAAATTTTTCTTACTCATATTACAAATTTTGAGTAACATTTATTCGATCTTATGATAAACATAATTACGGTGTATATAACTACAATTTTCTAGTTCTGACGTGATATAAACGTGTCCCGTTTAAAGCTATTCCTTTTTTCAAAAGATGGATAGTATAAATGTCACTGGGATGCGTATGAATGAACTTCTGAAGATCCGTAGTTTCTGCCTTCTATCTGTCCCTGGTCTTACATCGGTTGACAGCCCTCCGCACTGTATCTCTTTCGCTATGAGTAACTTCGGTGATACGGAGTCTCCAAGTAGAATATCTTTTTCGATTTTGAACTTGAAGTTCATGATTTCGTGAAAATTCACACTAGCAGCTGCATTCTTGTGAATCACAGCGATCAGGTGTTTGTACAGTTTCTCGATTCCCTGCTCTTCAAAAACTTAACGGATCTAGACTGAATCGAAGGCTTTCTCGAAATCGACGAACTTCAGGAAAAGAGGGGGCCGATATTTTTTGCTTCTCTGAATTACTGCGCATACCACCTGGAGTCTATCCCTCGTACTAAATACACGTCGGAATCGTGCTCGCTCTTTTAGTTATGCAGCGTCCAGTTTGTCTGCAATGTATAGCCTTCAATAAAAGTGAATAAAATTTTGAACATCACGGTTCCGAATTTGGTGCCTGCAATGAACTTTAAAACGTCGTTCAACCTTCGCAATGAACATAATACTACAGCCAACAACTGCTTAATAAAAAATAATGTAAACTCCTCTGATTGATAATTTTGTACTGGATGAAACAGCACAAAAATGTTCCCCATAATTTTGACAAAACAAAGTAGTGGTCGAAACCGTACAGGGGAGGATTCCAAAGCCTTGTCTCAAGGTTGTTTAAACAAGTAAATTTAAACTAGACAGATCAACGAGTGCATTCGTGGTCCATAAGTTTGAAGTTAGTCATTTTCGCAAAATTTGAACAGAATTGGACTGCTGCTTTTACAGATGCCTCTAAACGAGGTGTCAAATTTCAAAGAGCAAAGAGGAGGCATGTGTCTCAAGGAAAGGAAATGGATTCTAACTTATCTTTCCATCTCAACTCTTGCACCTGGCTGATAATCTTCACCAGCATTACGAACGAACAGATGTCCTTGCGAGTTCAGATAATATAGATATTCACCTTGAAACTGCGTTCTTAAAGAATGGGCATAACATTCAACTAATTGGCAGAAAGTTACTGTTCTGGTACAAACCATGCCATGCTATGCTGTAGGTCTGGTACCTAAATCATCCACTGGAATATCTGTATTCGTACATAAATACAGCTTATTCTCACTTTTCAAAAAAAAACGATAAAGAAATGCTAATTCTGTCTAAAATCTTATAAGGGTTAGCATTATTTTGTAAAATACGTACGAACCAACAATGAAAACAATGTCTGAGATAGTGCATAGAATTAATTCCAGTGCCTACGATCAGGTGCAGATCTAAAAAAATGTGCATGCATTTAAAGGTTCGCGCGTAACAGCACTGGGAAGCTTTCAAGCCACAGACATATAAAACACTCTGGAACTGTACAACTTCTAATATCAAAAAGGAATTCAGTTAGTAAATCGGTGTTTCGTAATAAAGAAGAAAAATAATTTATTCGGCAGTTAATACAGTTAGCACATATTCTAGCGCATAAATAATATATGAATATTTAACATTCTTTAACATATCTCAAAACCGGGGTGAAGTCAGTATTATGATATATCCCTTAGTGAAAAATGAAGGATGGTAGAGGCTTATCAATGAAAAATGATAAGGCCAAGGACTGAGACCAACACCTAAAACAACGGCGAATTACATCCTGCCGACCATCCCAAGAATGTGCTTCCTATCTGTTAATCTTAATGTATCTATGCACCATGAGGATGTGACTGGTTGTATGAATCTCCAAGTTATAAATTCGTATTATTATTGAGGATCGAAATTCAATGTTAACCTGATAAGTATCGGCTCGCCACGGCATCCGGCATCGCAAGCGTAGTAATCTGTGGCCTCTTTGTCAGTGGTCTCGGTGGCGATATACATTCGCAGGTGGTGATCTTCGTCAATCTCAATCCAGACGTGCAAGAAATTAGTGCGATCTAACAAAATTTTCCGGAAGTAGCAACTGCTGAAATTGATAAAATAAATTAATAAACGATCTTATCCAACCAAGAAACAATCATAGGAAACGGAAAAATAATTTGGAAAAGGGTTTTTGTATTTCCAAGACATGCCGCTCACTCTGCTCTGCAGGTAAGCTAATGCAGTTGAATAAGTATCTCGGGGTAGCATTAAAGAAAAATGGTAGTTAAGACGTCTAAATAGACATATGGGTCAGTCATGCAAATGCCGTAATGTCGAAATTAAACCGTTCATTGATTCAGAGTGATGAAGAAGAAAAAGGCTGCGCAATAATCCGTAAATTCTCTTATTTAAGCAACTATACAATATTTGTCTCGGCCATGAATGCCAAATATTGCACGCGGAACATGAAAAAACACCGCTGAGGCCGATTAACGACTGCTTTGAGGTATTTTATTTGCGAAAACTGTTAAAAGTGCCTAAAATCATATTATGAGGAAATCATAAGCATTGTAGCTCTCTTCTGCGGAGCCAGAATAATGCTGCACATACAAATACACAGATATTTCTGCGCAAACGAAGCACTCACCGTTCCAGTTCAGAGGGCTGAACGTTTAGTTCGACGTGCTGCGCAGTAAATTTGAAAGACCCAAAACTGAGAAGCATCGCTTGCAGCATCC